CTCTGAATTTCCTCAACGCGCCTCCGTGATCAAAGTGGGATGAAGGCAGGCGGTTAGCGAGACGGGCCCAGAAGTGAAGCTCTGCCTGGGGCTCACTCTGCTCCATGCACGGGGGAGAGACTCCCCCCCCCCCGCTGACTCGGACCCTTCACTTTGCAGAATACGTATTGTCTAGAGCTCGCGCGTGGCATGCTGGTTATCGTGCTAGGCGCCGTCGAACTTCTATTAGCGCTTTAATGTTGCACGCACAGACACATTATATAGTGTATGCGTCTGTATTAAATGTCTGAAGTGAATATACTATTAGAGGTGTTTAAAATGCAGACAGTGGAAGCTGGTTGCCGCCCTCCTGCCTCATCCTGGTTCTCACAGAAGTCCCATCTGAGGCATGAAATATGACTGCAACGTCTTTCATCAATTTACAACTTCATATTAGATCTGCAACCAAACACATTTTCTTTATCTTTCTTAATTTGATGTACTTGATGCTGCTGGACCTTCACTCTGTACTACAAGTTTCACTACACGGCCAAAAGTATGTGGACTCCTTGACATTATATCTGCAAATATATAATTTACATCTTATTCCAAAAATCAGGGGCATTAATCTGCTGCTGCTAGAACAGCAACAACACTCATTATGTTTCAGGTATTCCACAAGAGCACACTGCTGCGTTCACACGCACGCCTTCTCCACAACAAAAATGTCTATTCAATTATAAACAAATGCCTCTCCAATAAGGAAATGTGTATAAAAGGGGGTTTCAATAAGAAATAAACCAAAAATACAGCCTGTTGCATGTATGATGTCTGCCCCGATGCAGGTAACTGAGTGTTTATATTTACTCAAGGTTTCGCAATCAGGATCAGAATGTGTTCAGTGCGGTTCTGCACCTCTCTTACGCCCCAAAGAAAAGGCGTCGTCTCACCTTGACTGGCCGAATGCCCCAAGCTGCTCTCAATCCTCAATTAGGAGCCGGTCCTCACATCCTGCGCAGCAGGTGATCTGAATGCCCTTCAATCCGCTCAGGGGAACCGGGACAGTTCAGCTGAAATGAATCACAATAATATTAATAAGGCTGTATCATAGCTGTTTTACACATATCCTTCACACAGTTATCTACCTTTCACATAATTCCACTAAAACCCTATTAATTCATTCTCATCACTGATGTGATCGGATTGTATTATTCATACAAGACGGTGGGCTGTGTGTCCTGATAACACTGAGCCTGTATGAAAGCTCTCTGCTGTCTCTTCCCTACATGGTGAAATGGGTGAGTAGTACTCTGAATGCACATCTTTGAAAATGCAACTCAATCACATAGTTGATCATAATAAAATAGATGCTATTAAGCATTCACGGAACGAGCTACATTTCTCTTCCCGTTCCCAACATCTGCCGTCACTCTGTGCAACGACTGAAGCGTTCAGCCAAAGACAACCAGCTGCAGTGTCGGAACAGGTTTCATCCAGTGACGAAGGCCCGAATTCCAGTGCGGCCCCCTACACGCTCCCACCCTGTGACGGAGAGAACTCTGTTTGTTGTCACACTCACGGCTAAATGAAGCACCCTTCTTTAAGGTGTAGGGTATAAAGAAGCTTCAGGACGAACCTCCCTCCGTCCGAATGAAAACAGAAACTGTCAAAATTTGTGTTGCCATGGTTTCCTATCAGCATCTCCGGAAGCGGCAACCTAAGCCTATGGACAAAGAAATGAAACTCCGAAGCAGCTTTGGTGGCATTTCTTTTACACATATATAGATATAAATAGAGAAGAATAAAATAGAAATAAATAAATGAAAACAATGGTGTAAACAGTGTAAACTGTAATGCTGAAAAACGGCATCGAGCATAAATAAAAAATAATATTAGTTTAAAAGTAAAGAATATATACATGCATTATTAATGCCAGAGTAAAGCAAAGTTTAATTATTGCACAACATTATTGCACTGTTAGGTCAGTATTTTACAATTATAAATATAATAAATTATGGGGTTATAGCTGGGGTAAAAAATAATAAAAATAGGCATATGTATGCTGGATATAAAGATATAACGTTTCTACCGTTTTCTAGACTAGACAAGGGTGTATTTTATCCTAAATACTATAAGTTGTTAACGTCTGTGTGATAATATTAAATATTAATATAAGTTTGAGTAGTTAACGAGTAAATGTTTGTAGCGTTCAACGCATGGAACTTACATTTGTATGATGTGTTATTAATGAAAAAAAGAAGGATGGCGAAAGAACAACTTAACAATGCAGATTTGTAAAAAGTCTGAATTCATGCTTTGTTGGGCGTGGCCAAAAGATGACAAACAAACAACTTTTAAAATGCTTGTTTTCTGAATGGAGTTCGGATTGATTCGTGCTGGGCTTTGCTAACATTGCACCTGCTCCATCAACACTCAAAATAGAGTCAGCTTGGCATAAATACAGCAATGTTCTGGTTCATACACATACATTCATATGTGTTAATATGAGGTAAAGCTCTGGGTGCCCCATTTCTGATTCAACAAAGTCAGCACATGCAAAACAGGAGTTGAATGGAAGGAACCACCGGACGCAAATTGCCGTCTTTGCATTGAATTGCGCCACGCAAAAAACACAGCATTAGACAAGAGCCTGGAAGACGTTCACATCAAGGCAGTAACAAAATGAAAAATAAAAACCAACAATCCAATACATAACATGATTTGGGCTTGTCAAGGCAGCGTGATATGTCGCCACAAAGTGCCGTCCCATTCGTATTCATCCCATTTCGAGCCCTTGCTGCCTCTCACACTCCACCATGTAGGTGAGGCGACTCAAGACTCTGAGGGTTCAGGAGTTAAGGCCTTGCAGAGGAGGGGGGGTGTCATAGTTTTAAAGCGTAGCGCTGACCATGCTGCCGTATTTGACTGAAGAAGTGTTGGAAATGCTGACGTAGACAGTTCTTCTGGAGCAAACTGTCACAGCGTAGTGTTTGATGAAGTGACAGCAGTGATCTGCCAGGGACAGATGGATCAGTTTGGTTCTCATCATCAGTGAAGTTGACCAACAGATCATTTCCTCTGAGTGAGGTTTAACAATTGGTTTGCACAGACTAGAAAAAATACACCCCTTGACCCAATTAGAGCCGCTGTTAACCTGGCATGAATCAAACCCCACACAATACCTTACACATACCTGTGTCAAGCGCTATGAGCTGTAAGTTTTGCCAAGTGAAAACTGCTGGCTGTCGACAGTTTGAGTTTCAGCTGAATTATAGATGTGGCGGCGGACCAGTGTTCTGCTCCAATGGAGAGATCACAGATAGAGAGTGACATGTCGACAAGCCAATTATGCGACCGGCCAGCTGTCATAGGCAAACAATATCTCCGCCGTCATCTCAAGTCTCTGAGACTTCAGAGAGCCTCCAAAATGCAGTCGACAGGAGACCACGCAGATATCGACGCGCGTGGACAAATAATAATAACGCAGTTGAAAAGGCATATACGATGAGCTGTAAAAAAAAAAAACACACATGTGCACGGACAGCCGCGCACGTGTGTGTGTGTGTGTGTCCGGAGCTTAAAGAGAGAGAGAATGATGGCGCTGTAATCAGGCTAGGTCCCAGGAGGGCAGAGCAGCAGTGCTGACAGCGAGTTGGTACTCATCTTCAGAGCAGGATATCTGGGCCACAGTCCCCTCTGTCTGGCTAGCAGGGGGTTCAGAGGAGGTGGAGGCGCAGACGGGAGGTGAAAAAAAGAAATAATAAAATGACCTGATGGCTGAGAAAATAAGTGGGGCTTGATTTTCTAGAAGCAATGACAGGAACACAAAAGCTGGACTGCCAGTGAGGAAGTGAATGATGGTAGTCGCCATTACTGCCTTAACAAAGGCAGAGGGCGGGCTCCTAGCCAGACTGTGTATCATGCACCATATATACAGTATATTACTTTATATATATACATTTTGGCACCACAATGCTGGAGACCCATGCCGTATTGCTGGGAACGCAGGAGGGCAAGGGAGGAGCACGGGGGAGAACTGGAACCAGGACTGAGAGGGGGAAGGCTGTCAGACCTCTGCTGCAGTAAAATGAGAGGTTTCCTAAAGGGAGTCTGGCGCTCGGAAAACACACTACCGCTTTAGCTGAAGCGAGCAAGAAAGATTGTAGCCAACCCCTCTCACCCTGGACATAAACTGTTCGAGCCCCTTCCATCTGACAGGAGGCTGCGGTCCATCAGGACCAAGACCTCACGCCACATGAACAGTTTCTTCTATGCTATAATAAACGGTTTCTGATTCTGATTTTGTACACAGGGATCGCCAAAATCCACGCACAATGAACGTTACCTGTAGCAGCTTTAAACATGTGGTGTAAAGGAAGCTCAACCGCATCGAACTGTGTGAACAAGAGTCAGCGGCCGCGGAAACAACAGTTACTGCTTCACTGCTCAAGATCACTGAACTTTTATCTTTTTTTCTGAGAAAATAAGAAGGGTACACTGACAATAGTCAAGATCACATATTATAAAAACACATAGCAGCCAACACAAAGTGCTTGATTACAGTGTGTCTTCCTGTTACATTAGGGCCGCATAAGGTCAATAAGGCCCAATCGTGGTGGCAGGTACAATATATAATATATATAGTAATGCTAAAATATTATAATGAGAATATCAATCCTGTCTATGTATCAGTGTGGGCCAATGTGGGGCCTAGGGCAGGAAATGAATGTGCAGACTGGAAAGCAGCGTGTTGAGCTACAGTTTAAGTCCAAACATGATATGAAAATAGAGAGCTTGCTGCTTTGTCACCAGCATAAAGCTTCATCCCAAACATTCCCAACTCATTATTTATAGCAGTCTCATCAATAATATATGTATACTGTAACATCAAATCAACAGGGAGACCAGTAAACTCCCACTGTTTCATTTGATGCATGAAATAAGTGTCAGCGGTGCTCCCCTTAACCAAATATAGGTTACCCCAGCACTCAGGCTCTCTCTCCCGCTCTCTCTCTCTCCGGATTGTACCATCGCAGGGATGATTTTTTTACTCGTGCGATGAAAGCTCGAGATGAATACTTCATCCCTGACCCAGATAATGGCGATATATCAGGCTCGGAAAGCGGAGCTCTGTCGTGTTGCAGCCCGCTCCTCCGCTGTGCGCTCCCGGTGCGGCGGGAGCTGTTAGTGGCGCGGCTCGCCTCGCCTCCCATCTTCCTCCGCCTGGAATCCGACCCATCCCCTCTCTCCGTGTCGCTTCTCAGAGAGAGGAGCGGAGGGGAACGGAGAAGCGCCGCGCACCGAGAGAGGGGCGATGCAAACGGGGGAAAGGTGAGTAGCTCGAGGAGGAGGGAGGAGGGGGGTGAGGGGGGAATTAATGGAAAGGTAGTCGGTGTTCCCGAGAGGCGAGCCACTCGCGCGCTTTAACGCGACTCCTAGGCTCAGTCGAAAAGTAAATGCTCGTAGTTATACTCGCAGTATTTCGTTACTCGTTACATTTGGCTACACAGTGCCCAGGAAGTTTCGAGAAAGTTGCCGTTTTCTTCGACTGTGAACTTCGGCAACCCGGTGAGACAAACGCACAGTTAAGCTAGCGGTGCAATAAGGTTACTGCAGGCTAATTAAAAAAACTATTCTAGAAGAAGGTGACATTTTAGGTTACTGCAAGCTGTGGTTTTAATTAACGGTAAATTATTCTTGTATAGCCTACATTAGCTAACACCACACTGATGTTGAGCCTCCATGAGGCACTTCAGTGGGGGGTATAATTCAAATGTTGCTCCTGTAACTGTTTTTGTGTGAAGCTGTTAGTTATAGCCGCTTACAAGCCTCCATTAGAAATACTCAGATAAACAACATGCAGCACATGCAACACACAGGTGGGGATAACATAGAGGCAATGACAAAGTAAAGTGCTAAAGCTGATGCATCATGCAATATGCACTCAGTTGTCAGTATATTAGGTACGTACACCTAGCTATAACTAGTACAGTCTAATTCAACAGGCCAGCAAAAAAAAAGAAATCCTGCATTCCAGAAGGTTCTGTTGTTCTGTTGTTACTGTATTAGAAAGGTGTCTCTAGTATTTAGTCTATTCTTAGTTAAAGGGCGGACAAAATACTAGAAACACCTCTCAGTAGAGCATTTAATTCAACTGCACCACAAATGTCAGCGTTTTTAATCATAAAACACTAAATAGTATGATTTTTAATTAGTGAAGATTTTTGTTGCATTATATTGCATTGTTTGTTAGATTTGCCTATACCTCATACATTGACAACTTGAGTTGAATTCCCCCTTTGAATATTATTGGATCGTTTACATCATTTGTCATCTTGGCCGATCGTTTTTTGTCGTTTTGCTTCATTAGCTGCTGTAAAAAGGCTCCAGACTATTATTTTGTCACGTCCGTTTCAACCACTCTGCAGTCAGTGTAAACCATCAAACATTCTAAAAGGTATCCTTTTTTCATTGTTCTAGTCATCTATATACATATACAAAACACACAATTCAGATTCTTAGTTCAGGGGTGGACAAAATATTAGAAACACCTCTCAGTAGACCATTAAATTCAACGGCACCACAAATCTCGGCGTTCTCAGTCAAACACTGGATATAACCTTCAGTCAGCGATGATTTTTGTTGCATTCGACTGAATTATCTTTAGCTTCGCATATCCCCCATAATGTGACAACTCGAGTTGAAGTCCCCGTTTGAATATTATTGGATTGTTTACATCATTTTTCATCGCTCAAAAGGTTTTTCGACTCCTTCCCCAGCCCATGAAATGATGATTGATGATGATGGATCTATTGTTGAGGGCCTCATGACAATGACAAAGACCACCCAGACCTTATCTGAAAGGTCACTTACTCAATATGCACCACACTTGTCTGTCTTCAGTCTGGCTGCAGCGCCGGATCGTACAGAAGGAAGAGTGACATTTCTTTGTCCTCCTCTGAGACTGTCACTCTCCTCTGCCGTCACACTTCGCCCCAAAGTTGGAAACTCAACTTAACTGCATAACAATTGAAGGAAGACTTTTGTAATTGAGTGGTCCCCTTCAGAAACTCCATGGGGGGAGGGGCTACTTATACATGCAGTAAAGATAAATAAATGATACTTGAAGAAAATGTGTCAACAAAACAACCCAATTAAGCGCTCATTCTACCACCCATTACACTGAATTACATTCACAAGTGTAACACTTCAAAGATTCTTTGAATATTTATCGGTTACTTTGTTGAAATCCGCATGAACCACACTTCACATCGGCATGAATTGGATCCGCAGCACTTATTTAAAGCAAGTTAACACGTGTCACTCCTGTTATTGCCTTCCTCCAAAGCAGCGGTGAAGAACACAAGGAGCAAATGCCAGGAGCTGAGCTTTCACTAAGACAACATGAGGACTACTCCATGCCTAATTAATCAGAGCACAGAAGGCCGACTTGCCTCCTAAGCTACCGTGTGACCGTTGCTGACAAACAATGCAGCATTTAAAACAGTCTGGCTCACTCTGCATGAAGCAAACTTTGGGTTTTGTTGTTGAAATGGAACATTGTATCGCAGTGTGTGTGATAGTGAGTTAAGTGTGTGATGTAACGTTCTGTGGTGTGGAGTTTATAGTGTCACCATCTTCACAGGTGACTGAATCGCAGCGCTGAGAAATCACCAAGGGTTTCACGCCTGGGACTCCGACCTGCAGGTACAGTAGTGTCATTGATTTTCCTTCAGCTGAAGAGCCTCTCCCCCTCCCCCTCCTCATTTTTACTTACTTCCTTTTCCTTGGTTCAACGAGAATTGATTACTTCCTTCCACATAAACACCATACCAGTGGATGGCCGTGCACAGCGTGCGCCTGTCACGTTAAATGGATGCGGTGGGATGACGGCCTCCGCCTGCTCCTTTTTCTCACGAGACAGACAGGATGGAGCTCCTTCCCTGTCAAAGTTAGGAGGAAGTTAAAAAGTGATATAACGTATTATGTCTGTCAGCCAGTGCTGCTGGGATGACGGGCCATCTCTCTCTGACAAGCTGAGTGACATTTTTCAAATTTTCAATTGGCAGCAGTGCTCCAGAGTCACCGTTTGATTGACGGCTGCCGGTGCAGACTTTATATCCCTTCTTCTGGGTACACAGCAGTAACTTGCATTGGTTTATTCTATACTTGCTGAGCACAGTCAGCTGCTTACATTGGTGAAAAGTGTGCACTTATTATTGGTATGAGGCATGAAGTCGGACACAGCTTGCGTTGCACTATAAGCCTACATTCAAGTTGCTCTCCAAAAACTACATTTTACCAGATTACATTTGAACACATCATGAGACCGTTATTGAACAGAGCCTGAACGCATCGTAGTGTAAAGCAAACTAGCTCCTCCTCCTTCAAGATTTGTTGTTCGCGATGTAACGTTATCAGAGATTGGCGACTAGAAAGCATTAATGCCGATCTCCAGACCGCATATGTTTTCTGATTATCGGTCAGTAACGATCGTCAGTAAAACTTTATTTCACACTGTGACGGTTAAGCTGCGTAAGAATGATCATTTATGAAAGGATCATTATTCTTATCTGCTAAGATGCTGATATGATTCTATAGAGGGTTATCTAGATCTTGCTACTGACGGACAGCAATGCTACACACTGCGTTGCTTTCATTGAATATTCTAAATTCAAATATATATTAGAGTTGTAAAAAACAAAGACATTCTAATCCACTCAAATGACGGGCTGTTGTCGTCTGACGTTTGTCACGTTAAATGTTGTTATGTGTACTAGTAATGACACACAGTACAGGTAAAAGCAAGTAGGAACCTCCCTCCAGCCAGCTGCCACCTTATGTAGGTTTCTGTACTGAAATGAGGAGGTATGGTATAGATAACTCATTTCAACTTCACCAATCAGCCGTTCCTCGTCCATGGCGACGCGACAGAGGTTCAGCTCTAAACGGCTCATCGCTGGCGGACGGCTAGGACACGGTGTCGTGAACATAGTGACAGCAGTTTTAACGTGTTATTTTGTGTACAAGTAACTTTTGAAATTGCCAAGTTTCTTAGAAATAAATAGGCAATTGTATTTTTTATGTTCTGTATAACTTGGAACTTGTTTTTGATGCTACTGAGAATTGAGAGATACAGAAAACTTTTACGTAACAAGTGTTTTACTTGTGAAAGTTTAGCATGAATACATGACTTTTCAAATGCAAGAACTCCAATAATCTAACACAACCTTTACTCTGCTTCCATACCATAATTCACCACACCGCCTTTATGGCGGAGAAGATCTGAGAATAGCACCTCAATCACATCGTGACCCCGAGAACCAAAAGAGTCAATATTCTTTAATGATGTATGAGGACATTTAGTACATGAACCTGAACAAGGGAGGCAGTTTGAATGTATACAAATCAGTGCTGGGCAACGATTAAAATATTTAATCGCGATTAATCGCATTGTTATGGCAAATTTCAATAATGAATTCAAAAGTAGTGTATTGTGCACTTTTATTCTAAAAGTACTGCTATATGAACAAAAGGGAAATAACATTTGGTTTGTAAACACATCAGGTTGTTGTTAGCAGCAGTATTCCCTTTACACAGCAGCAGTTCTATCTCTTCACTATCTGTGCTCAGTGTGCTGACCGTATGTGAAACGTTCCACTGCTGTGCAACAGGAATAAAATGTTTCAGCACGTTTCAGCTAAATGTTTGTCTTCATGACAGTCAGAGCATGTGAATGCAGCTCTACTGTTCATCAATAATAATAATGCTGTAACCGAGGTGATGATGGTGACCCAGCGATGTCCAGTAGCCTCCAGTGAGAGCAACAGCTGCTGCACGTTGTAACGCCGTCACTTTTGTAGTCCTCTCCTTTAATACAACTCGTGTATTCTTCTTGTGACAGTGCGTCTTGAGGGAGGCTCATACGTGCTGTCATTCGTTGCGATCCTAAAGCTGCGTTCACACCAAACGCGACGCGAACGCACCTTGAGAACGCTCCTCAGACCGACATCTTCCACAATACTAATCGGCTGCAGTTTGTCTCCACTTCTCTGTAGCATTTGTTAGCTTGTCTTGCTTTAGTTTATCTATACTTTTCCCACACACTGCATCAACGTAGTCTGCCGAAGACTTCCTCCACCGCTGCCAGTGCACACACTTTCAAAATAATGTAACAGACTGTCTCACCCAGCCGAGGAAACTCTGGAAACGGAGCAGGCAGGTCCACATGGTCCCCTGCTGGCCGACCGTCTGCCGAACAGCCCTGAGCTGGGCTTCAACGGGTCTTCATCTCTAACCTACATGCTGTACTTGAACCAGCGGCGCTTTTCTCTCTGAAGTGCCGCGGAGTTAGCCTGCTAGCTAAACTGAGACAGCTAAGCTAAGCTAAGAAAGTGCACACTCACAGTCGCCGAAGCATAAACTAGTCGTAGCAGTCCGTAGTCGGTGCATAAGAAACACCGCTGCCACCAATGTGACCGAGCATCCTGGATTTGTGTATGAGGGGCATTTATAAGACGGTAATAAGCGGAGTCAGCAGACCAGACTTCTCGTTCAGCCCAGGCTTCTCTGTTTATTTCTAACCCCCCCCCGACCAGAAGCGGAAGTCGCCTTATCTCTACAGCAACCCTGAAGGGACATATCATCTCCAATACAAAACGATAAACATGAGACAGTCTATTACAATAATAATAATAAATAAAAATAATGCGTTAAGGCGCGATAAGATAATTGTCGGCGTTAATTAATGAATGCGTTAACGTGAAATTAACGCGTTAACTTGCCCAGCACTAATACAAATATAATGTAGTATATTTGTTGAAGCAGGGACTACTTTTCCTGTTTATACAGTAACAGAGAGCTAGAGGCAAATGGCCGGAGACTGTGTGCAGCTTAAACAATTCACTTATGAATTCCGGGTTGCTCAGCAGTCTGAAAATAATCCTGGTAAGATCAGCTAACAACTAACACAGAAACAAATGAATTTACCAGCACAGCGCTCCTGCTCTGCTTTTACCCGACACATGGCACGCTGAAGCGTTAGCTACAGGAACACAGCCATCTACAGGAACACGTGATGCTGGTGTTTTATCCTCTTTTTGCTTAACTCAACAGTGTGAGTGTGTGTACACTGCAGCAGCCTGGTTACTGTGTATCCGCAGAGCGGGTAGATAAAAGCCCGCCTGCAGAACACACTGTCCGGGCCTCCTGCCGTCTTATGATCCACTCTCAGAGGAGGTAAACACACTCTTTGTGCTTTTTCTACAGATGCCTTTACCCATAAAACCCACCTCCTACGCCCCCCCGACCTAACTCTCTTATAGAAGTGATGCAGAAAAAAAAAGCCCTCCCTTTGCACAAACGCTCTCACTCTGAAAGTCAACCGTTCAAATCTTAAAAGGGTAACGCACACACACACACACACAGACACACATGCGCGCACATAAAAGCCCGGTGCAGTGAAATAACCGTTAGGGAGTTCATTCCAATTCTGCTGACAGCAGATAGGCCTCACCGTTCTCTTTCTCTATCACACAGTAATTACTTATAAGGCCACAGGGATTATGATGTCCCCGACTCCCCACTGTAATAGAGCCGGTGCTCCATATAGCCCTGTTAACTGAGTACGCAGCCTTTATCACCCCCACCCCGTCCCTCATTAAGCTGTCCCTCCCTCTCATTATTCCCCCTCCGTGTAATATCCTCCATCCATTAACTTGGCTCACTCCTCCGCCCGTCCTCCCGTCTCTCCTTTTCCTCACCCTTCCTCCTCCATTGCTCTTTTCTCCACTCGAGCCTTCGCGGCGCTGCCACGCTGGATCAGCTCACTCTTAATTTGACTCCTACACAGCAGTCAGAACCACTATGCTCTGAATATACGAGTGTGTGTGTGTGTGTGTGGGGGGGGGGTTCTGTGCTTCAGGGACACAACACAGTACAGTGGAAGCTGAATATACATTGTCCTTATATAACCGAGCATGTTCCTCGGTGCAGGCGGTTGGTGTCCATGCATACGAGCCCCATTTTGTTTTCCACTCCAATGTTTGCTTTTTCCTCTTTCTATTTCCGTCTTTATCTCCTTGGCTCCTGGCGCAGCAGCACCATGCAAAAGTGCAGCCACTATAGTGTGTGTTTGTCCTGTATGTTGTGTTTCAGAAGGTGGTTAAACTCTGATCACCACAAGGCCCTCAGCCAGTAGTACCATACAAAGTATCTTCAGCCTTATGCTGGGTTTACACTACAACGTTTTAGCCCCAGTTTTCTACTCGCCGAAAGTTTTTGGACAAAGCCTCAGATCAGAAATAAAATTAGCACTCGCTCCAGTGAGCGGCGATCGCCATGTGTGAATTTCCAAAGATATGTAGCATGGTAAATATCTCGACCTGTCTGCGAGTCCAAATCCTGTCATGTGAGAATTGTTCTGACCGGCGATGACCTAAAGCCAATGAGATTGGGGCGGGAAATATATTTAATACAAATGTATTTAAGTGGCCGAAACGCTGAACAATGTAAGTTACAATATCCTTCAATGTAAATATTAGCCACTGCTGGCAGGTAACTGTGGTAGTTTTTCTTATTATATATTACTATATGACCGGTTTGTTATCATTTCTAAGTGTGTAAGATACGTATGATGTCGTAGATAAAGTGTAGCCATAGACCGCACGTCTTCTAAATCAGACTTGACTTGGCGTGATCCCTGTCCT